CACCCCATTCCCTCTGAGGTTTGTCAGTCTGTTCCCAACTTCCATGTCTCTGGATCTATTTTGTTCATTATATTCCACAAATAAGTGACACCATGTGATATTTCTCTTTCTCTGGTGGAATTATTTCACTTAGCATAATACTCTCCAGGTCCCTCCATGCTGTCTCAAAGGATAAGAGATCTTTCTTTCTTACATAGTGTTCTATTGTGTTCACAGCTTTTTTATCCATTTATCTACTGATGTGCACTTGGGCTATTTCCAGATCTTAGTTATTGTAAGTAGCGCTGCTATGAACATAGGGGTACATATATATTCTTTCTGATTGGTGTTTCAGGTTTCTTAGGATATAGTCCTATAAAATGGAATCACTGGGACAAATGCTCCCATCTTCATTATCTATTTCCTTCTACTAACTCTGGGTTTTTCTTTCTAAATATTTAAGTTGTAGGGTTAGACAGTTTATTAGAAATTTTTCTTGTTTCTTAAGGTAGGCTTGTGTCGCTATGAACTTCCCTCTCAGGACTCCTTCTGCTGTGTCCCATAGATTTTGTGTTGTTGTGTGTTCGTTTTCATTAGTTTCTAAGAAGTTTTTTATTTCTTTCTTGATCTCATTGGTAACCCATTCATTGTTTAATAGCATGCGATTTAGCCTCCATGAGTTTAAATATTTTTTGAGTGTTTTTGTTGTAATTGATTTCTAGTTTCATGCCATTGTGATCTGAGAAGATGATATGATTTCGATCTTCTTGAACTTACAGAGACTTTGTTTGTGCCCTAACGTATGGTCTACCTTTGAGAATGTTCCTTGTGCAGTTGAGAAAAATGTATATTCTGCAGCTTTGAGTGAAATGTTCTGTAAATATCAGTTAAATCCAGCTGATCTTTTAGGGTCTCCGTTTCCTTGTTACTTTTTTGAAGATCCATCCAGTGATGTCAGTGGGTATTAAACTCCCCTACTGGGGGAACTATTGCAATTGATCTCCTCTTTGAAGTCCTCCAGAAGTTTTCAAATATATTTTGGTGCTAATATATGTGGTACGTATATGTTTATCAGGGTAATATCCTCTTGATGGATCAATCCCTTTAATATCACGCAGTGACCTTTTTTGTCTCTTACTGTAGCCTTCATTTTGAAGTCTATCTTATCAGATATGGGTATTGCTATACCAGGTTTTTTTTTTTTCCCATCCCTTCACTTTAATCCTGTATCATTGTAGGTGATACTGGGGTGCATGGGTCCAGCTGGGATGTATAGGTCCCCAGGAGCTGCTACTGTCTGCTGGGGCTCAGCTCGCTATCTGCACTGCTGCTGCTGCTGGGGAATGGGACTCAGCTCTCCATCCTCTGCTGCTGCTTGGGGGTGGGGCTCAGTTCATGGTCTGTGCTACTGCTGCTGCAGATGAGCACATTGAATCCACAATGACCCAGGAACACTAAAGAAATAACAGAGCATAGCAGGCTCTTTTTGGTACCTTACTTGAATCTGGGTGGCACTAGAAGAGGCAAGAAAGATCCCACATAGCTGACTCTGTGTAATGTTGACCAATCAGTATCTTAGATGCTCTCTACTCTGATGTCCGCCTTAATTCTGGAGCACAGAGGGTAAAGCAGGTTCTTCCCCCAGAGCCCGCTTCCCAAGGTCTTCTCAGCAGCAGCCTGCGGCTTTTCCAAAGTGTACCTCTAAACATTTCTCCTAGAACTTGCCTTACAAGCTGGTTTTTAAAACATGACAAGCATACTTTATACTCTTTGACTATAAGCTACGAGACAACCACAGCAACGGAACATTTAGTTGAAGCCTCTACCTTTATCCTAATTAAGAATTCAATTATTTAAGTCTAGCTGCCACAATTATTAGGGGCATAAGATCACAAGGGTCCCATCTACAGGCACACGGACGCAGTTGTTTGACAAAGAAAGTACCATCCCATTGTGCGATTTCTGGGGAATTTGTGAACATGCTAGAATTTGTCACAGTGAGTGAGGCAGGGGACGAGTCACTAAAAGCATTTAGAGAGTAGTGCCCAGGATGCTAGACTTTCTGAGTGTTCCAGACAGTCCTAAACAAAAATCAATTGTCTCTCATTCCTTTGGAAAGTCCTACCAGGGATTCACAAAGAAGATAAACTTATGTATAATGATCTGAGCCAGAACTCAATGAATAATTTTCACAGTTTATCCTATATCAAAGGCCGCTAAGCATGAATAGGCAGGAGAAAAGACCGAGACTTCAGAAGATTAGGGTCACATGGAGAGGACCACTAACATGAGTGACGACCTCTGGTCAAGAGATCTGCCAGCCCTGGCAACACTACAGGGAGGAACCAAGACAATAAATTCTAGGCCCTTTCTCTCTTCCAATCCTCTAATAGGGTGTCCCGTTGTTTGAAACCCAAAGCCACAGGATACGAGTTCGTGTGGACGAAACCCATATAAATGTTGTCCCTATGGACACAATAGAATGGAGAAGGATAGAGGGGAGGTCGGGAGAGGCAGGTGAACGATGGCCAGCACAGCCCTTCCCTGTCCTGCTCTGTACCCTGTACTCTCACCTATGAAAACTGCCTCACCTACACACCTTTGTTCCGATCCTTCTGTTGGTTCAGCCAATGAAACTGGAAGTCAGGAGGAGAAAGCAGTCAGAGTTCTCCCTCCCTTTTCTGGTCACAGTTTGTGCAGTCGCTGAGTTCCTCTGTCTAGGACCTCAGCTCCTGTTAGTCAGCTCACATCCTGGGCTACAGCTCTTCCTGCTGTAGTCATATGGTTCATGTCCCTTGTCCCTTGAGTCTTAAGGTAACAGCTTCCCTCTATTATTGATTCCCAAGTGTGTCAACATGACCCTGGTCTCCATGGTCTCCCTGACCCTGCCCACATGTCTGTCAATAGGTCCTTCACTAATCTTCCTTCAGTTAAGCACATTAAGACTGCCTTCTGTTTTCTTCCTGTTCTCAAGTGATATGAGAATGAAGAAAAGTATGCATAAACATCAGCATGCTCAGAGTGGGTCGGATCAGTGTAAAGACACTGAATCTTATAGGGATACTCAGTTCTCTCTAGGTGAATAGGGGATTATAATCCATTCACAGTACTACCTTTCTCTAACAGGAGAACCTTGAGGAGTAGCAAGTTCCCCACTCCTGGAAGTGTTCAGAACTGGCAGGGATGCCACAGAAGGGACGGGAGTATCATTTGATGGAAGGGGAAGGTTAAACCACAGATACAGCCTCCATGTCTACTTCAGCCTTTAGACTCATAGTCTCTTATTCTTGGCAGTGTTTTCTAACACCAAGATGGTGGGTGTCTTATTTTGGGTTCCCCAAAGCAGACACTGATCAGCTCATGTCTGTGCCTCCCAAGGACGAAGCACAACCCTTTCTTCTCCACACAGACACCATTAAACACTTAGCCAACTGAACTGCATTTAGTGGGTTCCTTGTCAATTACAGGAAGTAAATGTGGGTGGGGAAGCTGAACTCTAGACACTGCACCTAGGAGAAAGACTTTGGATCTTTCTAAACCTACCAGCCAAGGGAACACAGTGTGTTTGTTCTTTGGAGAAAAGCAAGTGGCCTACAACAAGCACTGAGGAAGAGGAGCAAGAGGGACCTAGCCACTGGCAGAGCAAAGTGAGTACATTTAATCTAATGCTTTCTATGGGTAACTCAGAGATGCTGATAAGGTTTCTCTGCCAAATGAAACTTATGATAACTCTGGCGTGGTGTGGAGTCCGGGGGGGGGGGGGGGGGGCTATTGTACTAGTTTTTTGGTGTGTGCTCAAAAAAATAGAAGGAGAAGAATTCAGCCTGGTTAGACACTTTGCTTTCAGCCTTGTGATACCTCCATCAGGGACCCCGGTTATGCCATGCCTGACTTCTGACCTCCACAAAGATGAGCTAATTCATGAATTCTGTTTGGGCAGGTGGGGCCTCCAGAGCCCAGAGGTTGGGTCTGCTGGAAGCCGTGAGGGTGGTTCTATTGGATCCCCTGGGAAGAAAAAGCAACCGTCAAAATCACAGGAAAGTGGGGAGTATGGCCCCTGCCCCGAAGTAGACAACTCAGGCACTGACACCTCTTGAGTCTGCCAAGACCTCTACACCCTGGCCAAAAATCTGGACTCATCAGAAGTTCCTAAGCTCTGCAGCATGGGACCAGAGGGAGTCCAGAGAGCAGGGCAACTGCTTTCGCTCAGGCTGATGGCACACAGAGGGCGCTCCACCTGAGAAAGATGGTGGTTGTGGTATGGAAGAATGATTCATGCACAGGGATCCTGGTGGCTGTCTCCCCAGATCCTTCCCCACAGCCACACCCCAGAATCTTCTCAGGCACCTCTAGTCCACTTTGGACTCCCTCTGCTGGAGCACAGGGTGAGTGGCTGCGAACAACATTTTGTGTGTTGGCCCTTTAAGAGGGTGCCTGTGTCTCCAGCAGACTCCATCTCTCCCTGGCAGACAGCCAGAGATGTTACCTGGGTGCCTCTTCCTGGGTCTGGAGTTCTGGGCTAAGGAGATCAGCTTGGGGCTCAGGCCCCATGCTTCTCCGGGGGAACCCCCCACTCTAAGCTGAGCGATCCCTCCAAACAACAGCTGCTGCTCTAGGAAGCAGAGCCAGCCCTTTCTTTTTTTATCTCGAAAGTTCCCACCAATCTCAATGTTGGATCTTCTGCAAATGCTCGGTTGTAAAACTCATGTTCAGCTAGCTTTCGTTAGTTATTCAGGATGAGTGTTCTTTAATTAAGTTGTAATTCCAGTTTGGCCCAGGGAGGAGGTGACTGTGGCTTCCACCTACTCCATTGCCATAGTGAAATCCTCTCAGGACATGTATTTGTCAAGAACGGAATGCCAAGGTACCCTCTAACTGCTGCCTAATATCTCTAAAAAAGAATTAATAAACTCATAGGGGGTGGAGATGCGCCAACGAGTTAATGAAAGAGAAAGTCTTTTTCAATGGAAACATTAGTGCACATGTGAAGGATGACCCTATTGCATTTATTTTTTAGCAACATGACCTCGATGACTTCAACAGGCCCCATGGCCAATTCTGTGTTTGTGACAGCACCTCACAACCGGTATCCTGCGACCTTGGGAGGCATGACTCAGGTGCCCGTATATCCATTCAACCAGACTCAAGCCCACCCAGTTCCTGGGAATGCACATGGTTTGGAGCTGCCTACGTATATGCAACCTGCCCAGAGAACCTTGAGAGAGGGCAAAGTTTTAGGGGTAAGTGAGATTTTACAGGCCAGGGGTCACGTGGCTAGAGTCAGGGGATGGAGGAGGTTTGGAAATATGGAAACTCCAAATCCAGCAAGTGGTGCTGGAGCTGACCCAGCCTTACCAAACTCAGGTCCGTTTAAAAGCTCAGCTGTGCAGCACCATCAGGGCCTCAGTATGTGGGCTTGTATTTTCTGTCTGAGGCATTTTAGGAAAGAGAAAGAGAAGCAGTAAATTACAACATTGGTCCTGTTGCCAGAATCCATGTTGCTTCATGTAGCCTCTGGAAGAAGGTGGGTCCAGTGAGTCAGAAGTTGGAGTCTAAACCCAATGTGCTTGAATGGAATCTTTGCCCAATGGGAACAAAATAAGAGCTCATGATGATTTTGCCCCAAAAGGTTGTCCTGGGTAGGACAAGAAGAGGCCAGTTTTATTGCATAGCTGAATAAAGACATGCATGGATTCTGATCCAGGCTGCCCGGGTTCAAATCCTAGCTGTACCCCCATATACAGCTCATAGTAATGGAAATCGATAAAACCTGTATAAAGGGCTATCCATATCTGCCAAATTTTAAAATACCCAATAATTCCATTTCCGAGACTTTGTCCTGCAGACATACCTGTGTACACAAGAAGCATGACACGTATGAGGTTATCTGTTGCAGCATGGTTTGTCATAGGAAAAGAGTGGAAACAACCAAAATATCCATCAGTGTAATACTGGTTAAATCAATGTATTGTACATCCAAAGAATGAAATGTTGTGCGCTATTAAAAGAAACCTCCTTATATAATGATATGGACTTTCCCCCTAAGCTATATCATTAATGGAGAAAATTAGAGGCATACATTGCATATAATTTACTACCATTTGGCAAAATGGAAGGAAACAATATATTTATACACACACAACACACACACAAACACACACACACATATATATACACCATTTAAGCAAGAATACATATTAATTTCTTAGAGCTGCCATAACAAAGCACTACAAATGGGGTGGCTTAGAACAATGGACTGTCTCAGTTCTGGGGCTAGAAGTTTGTAATTAACACATCCATGGGGCCATGCTCCCTCTGAAGGCTCTAAGGGAGGATCTGTTCCAGGCCAGCCCATTAGTTTCCGGTAGGTCCTTGGTTGATGGCAGAATAACTCCAACTTGGCATTCTCCTATGTGCACGTGTGTCTTTTCATATGGCAATCCTTTCAAAAGATAGCAGCCCTCTAGGGGACACCCTGTTCCAATACACCTCATATTAACTAGTTATATCTGCAGCAACCCTATTTCCAAATGAGATCCCATTCTGAGGCACTTGGGGCTTGAACTTCAACATATTAATTTGTTGGAGGAGAGGCAGACACAATTCATTCCTAAACAATATCATAAAAATAAGAGATGAGCACCAAGACTTATCTACAAAGATGTTCATCACATTGTTTAAATATGAAAAGGTGGAAACAGTCTTAACTACCCCATAGCTCTGTTCCAAATACTCCACAACACATCCACACAGTGGAATCTGGGTAATTATTTAAAAGTATCTGTTTAAACCCTGGCCAGTTTGGCTCAGCGCTTGAGCATCGGCCTGCGGACCAGAGAATCCCGGGTTTGGGTCCCGCTAGGGGCGCATACCACAAAAAAACAAGAACAAAACAATGGTATCTAAAAGCATCTGTTTAAAGAGGAATGAATATCATGGGGATGTGTTTGTCATGAAATATTAAGTTAAATATGCAGGGACATAATATATTATCAGTGTATATATTTGAAAAACAAAATAACAGAGGGCTACACAGCAATATGTAAGTGGTAGTATTCTCTAGGTGGGGAAATTAAAGTT